AAAACCTTAATCTCTAATAGTATAAATATTATTAAGAGTACCTGAGACGTATGGTTACTATCAAATACCAGACAAAATTGAAGGTATCCTGCATAGAATAACCCATTTAATCTTCAATAGAATCCTATAAGGGCAATCTTATTAACCCTGTCCTTTAGATGAACAAACTGAGTGAAGGAGAGATTAATTAACTTGCTCAAGGTGACAAGTTAGAAGTGGCAAAGTCACATATTTAAACAAAAATCTCTAAGATGATTTCTGTAAAAAAAAAAAATAGACAGATGACTTCACATCAAACAGTGATATTCAAGCTGAAGTGGACCAATACTTATATATACACAACAGAGAGGCCAGACAGATACATGTGTACATGGGAACTCGCACAGTATGACAGAGTGACATCCCAAATCAGTAAATAGGAATGGACTAGTCCATATGTAGTATTAGAATGGACATATTCTTAGAAGAAAAATATAAAAAATAGAGCTCTACCTCATATCACTTACATAAAAAAAAGAGCTGGATTAAAATGTATACAAATGAGAATGTAAGACAGCTAGAGAAAATATTCAATTGAAATTTTTATAAATTTAGGGTGAGAAAAATGTCTTAAAGAAGAACCAAAAGCATAAACAATGATGGACATGTCTGGTATATTTAACTGATTTTTATGTAATGTCGACATAGAAAAAATTAAAAGACAAGATATACACTACAAGATAGTTTTGGTTGTACATAGTATAGACAATGAATTTTTTTAAGAGATGTTTTTGCTATACAATGAATTAATAGTATCCTAAATGTAACACAACTTCTACAGGTCATTTTAAAAACAAAAAAAACCAACCCAGAATGTGGGCAAAACCTTAGATCAGGTAACCAAAAACAAGGAAATTCAAATGGTCAATACATTTAGAGATGCGTGGATCACTAATACTCAGAGAATGCGACAAGAGACATTTGTTTACTGGAGAAAATGAAAAGATCCAGTGCTATCAAAAACGGACTAAGATATGGGGAAATCAGAACTCTCCCACACTGCTAACAGAGATTAAATTGGGGGCCTCTTTAGCTGGTCCTAGAAAAGTTGAAAATGAACATAAGTAAAATCCAGGAATTCTCTTTCTACATAAAAAGGTGTTCAATTAAGTTTCGTTTGAAATAACAAATAACCTATTTGTCCATCTGCATGGGGAATGGATCAAATGCGAATTATAGACATAGGTTGACTCTGTTGGCGTCACTAGGGTTACATGTAGATCCTGTTTATAGGTCTGTATGTCGGTCTTTATACAGGACACAGCCGCTGTGTCTGTGCCGGTTGGCTCTGCAGTTTGGCTCTGCAGTTCAATTCTCCAGGCTGAGCCTTAGTTCCATCTTCTTGCAACGCTGTTCTCTCAGATATGCACATGGTTTGCTTCCTCTCTTCCTGTGGGTCTTAGCTCAAATTTTAAAGTCTCAGTGAGGCCTACATCCCAATCCCAGTCCCTTTTTCTTGCTCATTTCTTCTCCACAGCAAGTAATGTCATACTAAAGTAAAGAAAAAAATCAAAATTAAAATACAGTAGTACCTCTTTTTTCAAGTAAAGAAAAAAATCAAAATTAAAATACAGAAGTCCCTCTTTTTTGTTTTTCAGTATTGATTTCCTCAGTCCAGAAAAAAAAATACATTGAAATGTAAAAAATAAACAATTTATAATTTTTACTCCATTTTGAGAAACAATAAAATCTTGAATGTTTCCTGCTTCAGCCCGCTCAGAAACTGAATCATCACTTTACCCAGTAGATAGACACAGTGTATGCTACCCATTTGTCAGTCACTTAGCAGCTATTTCAGTTAACAGCCACTGTGTCCCGTCTCACAGTTCTTACATTCAAGTAACCCTTATTTACTTAATAATGGCCTCAAGAAGTACAGAATAGTGGTGTTGGTAAATTCAGTTATCCCGAAGAGAAGTAGTAAAGTGTTTCCTTTAAGCGAAAATGTAAACGTTTTCAGCTTAAGAAAAAAAAAATTATATGCTGAGGTTGGTAACATCTACAGTACAATAAAATATTTTGAAAGAAAGAGATCACTTTCACATAACTTTTTATACAATATCTTGTTATTATTGTCCTATGTTACTGTTAGTTATTATTGTTAAACTCAAACTCAGTCAAATTTACACATTCAACTCTACTATAGGTATGTATGGATAGAAAACAGCACAGCATATATAGGGGTCAGTACTATTTAGGCATCTACCAGGTCTTAGAACGTATCTCCAACAGAGAAGGGGGGACTACTGAATAGCAATGTGCTTAGATCTTATAGTACAGTTTTCAAAAGGTGTGAAGGGGTGGTAAGTTGAAAAAAACCACACATGACCTATTACTTTTAGATGCATAGATTTATGCCTATACACTTGAAGAAGATGCCCTAACTCATAGCAGTTACTTCTCAGAAGTGGAGAGGAGTCTAGTAATATAGTTTGTGGGAGAGACAACAAAATGGTCCTATCTTCACCATAGTATAACTTTCATGATCAATGTCCCTTTCCCCTGAGTTTTCTTCTAGTAGTTTTATGGCTTCAGGTTTTATGTTTAAGTCTTTAAACAATGTTGAGTTGATTTTTTAATATAGTATGAGGGGCCAATTTCACTCTTATGCATGCTCTAGTTTTTCTAGAGTCATTTATTGACATTGTCATTTCTCAATTATGTATTCTTTGGCACTTTAAAAAGACTATTTGAACATAAATACATAGACTTACTTTGGGCTCTCTATTCTGGTCCACTGATCTATGTGTCTGTTTTCATGCCTTTTCCTTAGTGCTCTGTTGCTTGGTAGTAAATTTTGAAGTGAGTTCATGTGATGCCTCCAGCTTATTCTTCACTCAAGATTGTTTTGGCTATTTTAAGTCATCTGTGGTTCCCTATAGATTTTAGGGTTGTTTTTCAATTGGTTGCAATAATAAATTCTTATGGAAATTCAATTATTTTCAATAAGAAATATTATTTCTTAATTTATTTTTAAAATACTTTTGAATAGTTGGTTATAACATATACAAAAAAGGAAAATACAATACACTAAAACTTATGGGACATAGGTAAAGCAAATCTTTAAAATGTTTATATTGATAAATGTCTACATTAAGAGAACAGAAAGAGCCCAAACAACTTAGTATTAACCTCACAGACCCAGAAAAAAAAGAATAAATAAGCCC